ACTGGGCTAAGCTAAGTGCTAACATAGTTTTGCGGCAATACAGAGTGATATAGTGCACGCACTGAGACGAGAGAGGTATGCATCAGCTCGTCTTAATTAAGGGAATAACATAGTTTAATATGAAAACCCGGTGGAGTATCCCTTTAACACTTTTTTACTTGTGTTTGTCATTCCAGAGGGTCTCAGAAAAGTCAAACGCAGCATTTTGACTGCACTGCAGTCGTTTTCTGCCGCAAACGTGGTGGTGGCTCAAGAGAATCCTTGTGTCATTTAATATAAAAAAGTTTAAAAATAAGAAAACAGCTTGAATAGTAGATTTCTAAAATTCATAGAATTTAAATGTTGACTGAACATTAAATAGTAAAAAAAAAAAAAAAAAAAAAAAAAAAATAGATAAAATCCTGTGAACTACACAATACTAATTCCACACTTTGGTGTAAAATACAAACAGAAAAAAACACATAAAAAATTTAATTTTATTACTTGAGCCCTAAACTTTTGGAAAATGTCAATAAATGAATTGGTTAAAATGAAAATGAACAAATTGTATTTATCAACTAGCTGTTCTTTTGTATTATTAGTATTATTTTTTTAATTTATTTAAATATTTAATATTGGTTTGGACTAACACTGTAACATTGGTCCGTGTAACACTTCACAATTCAATTTTCGGACCATACAATGCAAATGCAATAATGGAAACCAGACATTCATTTTTCTTGTTTTTCCAGTTACATTATAAATGGATAGTTAACTTTTTCTCCCTTTTTCAATTTTTCTTGTGCTAAATTGTGACTTCAGAAACAAACATTTGAATAAATGAAATCTAACTGATTTTCTAATTTTCGTCTTGTAATTTGCGCCATGGGTGGTACCATTAGCACGGCTGTGGCCGTGGACTAACTTTAAGCTACTATAATTTCATTGAAGCAACTTCTTTATTTACACTGCATGCATGTTGAGAAGAAGTTAAGCAACACAGGACTACACTTTTCACCCGAAGTGACAGTTTTTTATTGATAATAACTGTCATAGAACGTCAAATTCGCGTTTATCGCGTCTAGTTGAACGCTTGAACATTTTGAACGCATTCGCGCGTAGTGAATTGGATGCGCGTAATAAGCAAAAGATGAAGCGTAATTGACGCGCGTCTGAGATGAAATACGCTTCATGTGGGAAAGTGCTTTGTTGATTGAGCATTCATCGAGAGAATTACCGCTCTGTATTTTCTCTGAACAGCGGCTGTTCTGGACTGCAGAACAGCGGCGTAGGGAGCATCGTCTATGGAGCGAAGTATGTGCCTAAACCTCACACACAAACAAAACGTGTTTTACTCACACCCAATGATTCACAAACAAACTCAGTGTGGTTTGTAAATACAAAACATCACTCACAAACTAATGCATATTGTTCTGCAAATAAAAAACGTACCTATCAAACAAATACAGTATGTTTTACATATACATAGAAACGTATTTCTTCAATGACCAAAATATCCTGCAAGTACAAACTAAAATCTTTGAAAGTACAAAACAAAATTCTACACGTACAAAGCAAAATTCTACAAGTACAAAGCAAAATTCTACAAGTACAAAGCAAAATTCTACAAGTACAAAGCAAAATTCTACAAGTACAAAACAGAATTCTACAAGTACGAAAAACTGTCACGTGACTTTTGGCACTATTTTTCCGCGTCCAGGCAGAATCAGATTTTCTCACAAATACAGTTGAGCAACTTCCTCTTCTAGAACAGTAGATGGCGCTAAGATAAGGGATCAATTTGCTCGCCTTTGCCCATGGGAAAATGAGCGGTGAACAGGTGTGTTTCTGTCTAACATTATCTATAATTAACCTTATTGAGGTTTTGGAAAATGTTTATTATATAGACAGAAATCCACATTAGCACTTAGTAGTAACGTAGCCTACTCCACTCTAGGATAAGGGAATCTATAAGCTAAAAGCTCTGCTATCATGTTGCTTTTACATTTTTGTAAAAATGTTTCATTTACTGGATGACTCTATTTCTTTCGTTCTCCATAAATTAATGAGAACATTTCATTTAATTGAAAGGGTCCCACTTATTCATTAATTTAGTTGGAATTCAGTCAGCATAACTGTTAATGTAATAAAATAATGAATGAACAAATCAAACAATATACAGTTGTTTCTTCCCTGTGGTGTATTGTCCAAATAATTATTTTGGACAGACAAATGAAACCCTCCTTTCAATTAAATTAAATGTTTTCATTATTGAGAACGAAACGAAAGTAATAGATTCGTTCAGTGTATACATAATCACTACTTTAGTCATTTCACACGCGTTTTATAGGCTAGATTATTAATCCTGGTGCGTTCACTGCGAAGATCGCGAGTCAGCATTGTCATCTTCATGTTTTCAGCCGACACACTGACAAAGATACACTTGTTTATTAATAAACAATTAAAATATCTTCTTGCTATATTTTACATAGCCTATCTTTTGCCGGTTCTTTGTGGCAGCTTTAAGGTGCTTTATTGGCAGTGCCACCCTACATGTTACACGCGTCACCACCGCATCACCGCATCACCGCACCCACCAGAATAGGCCAGTTTAGTAAACAGAATTAGATGGCCACAATTCTTACACTTATAAAAGGCAATTCAATGCGGATGTAATTCCTCAGATTGATTAGCTAATGTAATGGAATACGTTACAAATGACATTTTTGGGGCATTTATTCTGTAACGAAATACGTTTTCCCAACACTGCCTACTACAGCTGAGGAAAATGAGCGGTGAACGGTGTGTTTCTGTCTTACTTTACTTTGAGGTTTTCTTTTGCAAAATGTTAATTATTTCTTGACAAAAATCCATATTACCGCTATTAGCACTTCACTCTCTCTAGGATAGGGGAATAGACTGAAATATATCATTTGTTGCTTTAAAAAAATAATATTAATAGGAATCTATAAGACCCGTGTGAAATGAAATTAGTGATTATGTTCACTGAACGAATCTATTAGCTACTTTCGTTCTCCATACATTAATGAGACCATTTAATTTAATTGAAAAGAGGGTTTCATTTGTCTGTCCAAAATAATAATTTGGACAATACATCACAGGGAAGAAACAACTGTATATTGTTTGATTTGTTCATTCATTATTTTATTACATTAACAGTTATGCTGACTGAATTCCAACAAAATTAATGAATAAGTGGGACCCTTTCAATTAAATGAAATGTTCTCATTAATTTACGGAGAACGAAAGAAATAGAGTCATTTAGTAAATGAAACATTTTTACAAAAATGTAAAAGCAACACCATGGCAGAGCTTTTAGCTTATAGATTCCCTTATCCTAGAGTGGAGTAGGCTACGTTACTACTAAGTGCTAATGTGGATTTCTGTCTATATAATAAACATTTTCCAAAACCTCAATAAGGTTAATTATAGATAATGTTAGACAGAAACACACCTGTTCACCGCTCATTTTCCCATGGGCAAAGGCGAGCAAATTGATCCCTTATCTTAGCGCCATCTACTGTTCTAGAAGAGGAAGTTGCTCAACTGTATTTGTAAGAAAATCTGATTCTGCCTGGACGCGGAAAAATAGTGCCAAAAGTCACGTGACAGTTTTTCGTACTTGTAGAATTCTGTTTTGTACTTGTAGAATTCTGTTTTGTACTTGTAGAATTTTGCTTTGTACTTGTAGAATTTTGTTTCGTACTTGTAGAATTTTGTTTTGTACTTGTAGAATTTTGTTTTGTACTTTTAAAGATTTTAGTTTGTACTTGCAGGATATTTTGGTCATTGAAGAAATACGTTTCTATGTATATGTAAAACATACTGTATTTGTTTGATAGGTACGTTTTTTATTTGCAGAACAATATGCATTAGTTTGTGAGTGATGTTTTGTATTTACAAACCACACTGAGTTTGTTTGTGAATCATTGGGTGTGAGTAAAACACGTTTTGTTTGTGTGTGAGGTTTAGGCACATACTTCGCTCCATAATCGTCGCCGTACTTCCGTCCACCGACCTGGAGGTGTTCCCAGGTTGGTGAGTTTCACCATTTGCTCGCTCTGGGATCTGCGTGACGGCCGCTTTCAGCTTCCGCCTGTCCCACTCCCAGTTTGATGGCCTGTTGTCCCGCATCGGAGCGAGGATCACCCTCGCCCTCATCCACCTTATCTGTCATTTATTTTTGTTTTGATGATAAATGGAGCCAGTCTCCAAAAGTGATTAACCTGGGATTTTTTTTTTTTCACACACAACAAGAACTATGTTCTTATGCACTTTAGTATGTTGGTTGTCTTTACATTAGAACAATAATATTTCATAAATCTAGATATGGAATAAAACACATTACAAAATGATATGTCTCATACTGCGGGTTATCTAGCCTTTATCCTACATGTGATCATCACAAATATATTTTTTTTAATTACACTAGGCTATTTTGCTTTAAGATAATGATTTTACTTTCAGTCTTTTTTGGCATAGTTTACTGTAGGAAGTATTATTTCTCATAACTTTAATTTTACTTTAATTTTATTTTCATTTCCGGATAATTATCAGTATTTCTATTCATTAAAAATAAACAAGTTCTGATTTGCAAATGGGCTTAGTGGGCTTAATATATATATATATATATATATTATATATGTTCCGTCTTTTAAACTTTTGCTCAACGTGCATGCAGTGTAAGTAATAGTAATAGTCCAAATAGTATAGTCCATGGCCACGCCCCCGTGCTAATGGTACCGGCCACGGAGCAAATTACAAGACAAAAATTAGAAAATCAGTTAGATTTCATTTATTCAAATGTTTGTTTCTGAAGTCACAATTTAGCACAAGTAAAATTAAAAAAAGGGAGAAAAAGTTAACTATCCATTGATAATGTATACCTGGAAAAACAAGAAAAATGAATGTCTGGTTTCCATTTTTAATTTTTGCATTTGCATTGTATGGTCCGAAAATGAATTGTGAAGCGTTACACGGACAGACTCTGTGTTCTGTACCTGATATATCAGCTGATCCAAATCAATCCACTTAGTGATGGTAGAATTAGTGTAATTTATACTGAGGAGCTCCCACTCTCCCTGGGCCTGAAAGAGCTCATGTGATGAACCGGTGATCAAAGTTTGATTAGTTATTGGTTGAATTGTAATCTCCCGCTCTGTGGGAACAAACATTAAAATTGTGTTTCATATTACAGTCAAATAGTTTAGAAGAATAAACTATGTTATCTTGTGTTTGTTTGTTAAAACTGATCAATGTGTTTCAGACGTACTTGAATATGATGTAGACTGAAATGTTATATTGCAGCTTTGGGAGTCGAAGGGAAACCTGTAGAGATCCATCTTACAGGCCGTGGTCAGAGATACAAAGTCAACTGAGACTGTAAAGCCGAAACTGAACAACATCACATTTGGAGAATCCTTTGTTCCAAAATCTGTCTTGATGCTAAATGGATAAAACATAAATGAACACTGATTAATAAAGACATGATGATTAAAGACAGCAGGTATTAAAATCAAAAGTAACTGGCGCACTACTGATTAATCAGCCAAACCACTAATCAAACCAAGAGCTCTATCTCATTTTGAAGGCTGCACTGGAGGCCGCATTTGTCGGCCACATACCTCACAGAAGCTTCAAGTACATCATTTATTTTTAAAAAATGGTAACAGCTGCACTTTCAATAGTAAGTCATGTTTATTTTTAAGCCCTGTTTCCTCAGTAGAGTGTAGTAAGCAAGATTTTTAACAGTTCAAAAACGCAGGACTGTATTTATTTATTTTTTTCATTATTGGATTGAAGATTATAGGTTACTCACAAAACGTCTCAGTTACGTATGTAACCCTCATTCCTTGAGTAGGGAACGGAGACGTTACGTCGGATGACGGAGAATGGGGGTTTTGCCTAAAAAGCCAATCAAAACGAGCCAATGGCAAAGAAATGCCATGTGTCTGCGGAATTTGCATAGCGTATCTCCGCCTCACCCCATGAGTATAAAAGGAGGAAGTGAACGCAACCGCAGTATGTCTTCGCTGAGGAGCCGAGACTGAACTTCTACCCAGCGGTACAGCGGAAGTGGCAGGGAGACGTAACGTCTCCGTTCCCTACTCAGGGAACGAGGGTTACATACGTAACCGAGACGTTCCCTTTCGTAGTCACTCTGAGTTACGTCGAATGACGGAGAATGGGGGTCCCCCGTGTATTCACGCCACCTTCAAAGCTGTCTTCCAGTGCCCTGCGAAAGTCTGATCCCCTGTCGTGAACTTAGAACGGACGAGGAGTCCTATTTAGCACAGGAATACCAAGGTACACTGCGGAGCATATCTCAAAGGAAATATGCCACAGTATGCCTACCCGTAGGGAGGACTTAAGAATACACATACGGCCCAAGGGGGCTGCATATGGAGGAACACTGGAGTCACCAACCCGTAGGGTGACTAGAATTTTAACTCCAGGTGTGGCAAGGTGGCTTGCTGAGGGATGACACAAGCTCAGAAAGGCTTACAGTGGAAATACACATGTGGAGGTTACTAGCAGGAACCATGCACACGGAGGCACCTAGCCGACGTCCAGGCAAAGACACTGGCGCCAGCATCAACAGTGCTGGAGGAACCTAGGGCTTCAATAGAAGGCTCAGCTGAGGAATAATCGCACTTATCCAATCCGTGGAGTGGGATGGCGAGCAAGCGAAGACACCGAATGAGTTGGGTGTTGCCCATCCTGCAGCTCTGCAGATGTCTGCTAGCGAGGCGCCATGTCACACCAAGGGGGCACGGTCGACCTTGCTGCTGGTAAGCCAAAGCAAAGGTGTCCACTATTCAGTGAGACAACCTCTGCTTTGAGAGAGCCCTTTCCTTCTGCTCCCACCATAACAGACAAAGAGCTGGTCTGAGGTCCTGAAACCTGGTCTGAGGTCCTGAGGTTCTGTCTACGTAAGCATGGAGGGCGCTTACTGGACAGAGCAGTGCCAAGGCTGGGTCTGCCTCCTCCAGGGGCAGTGCTTGCAGGTTCACCACCTGGTCCCGGAAGGGAGTGATAGGAACCTTGGGCACATATCCAGGGCGGGGTCTCAGGATCACATGAGAGTAGGCCGGCCCGAATTCTAGGCACGCTTCGTCAACAGAGAATGCGTGCAGGTCCCCTACCCTCTTGATGGAGGCCAGTGCAACCAGGAGCGCTTTCTTAAGAGACAGGAACTTAATATCGACTGATTGCAGAGGCTCAAAAGGAGGCCTCTGCAGGGCGCTTAAAACCACTGAGAGGTCCCAAGAGGGTACGAGAGGAGGGCGAGGAGGATTCAATCTCCTCGCTCCTCTCAGGAACCTGATGATCAGGTCGTGCTTCCCCAGGGACTTACCTTCAACTGCTTCGTGATATGCATCAATGGCAGCCACATACACCTTCAGGGTGGAGAGAGACAGCCTTCGCTCCAAACTTTCTTGCAGGAAGGAAAGCACAACACTGATCGAGCATCTCCGGGGGTTTTCTCAGTGAGAAGAACACCGGTTGACAAAGAGGTTCCACTTCAACGCATAGACGTGCCTCATGGACGACGCTCTAGTGGAAGTGATAGTAGCCACCACAGCAGGTGGCAGGGTACTCAAACCTGCCTCAACCCATCCAGGAGACACACATGTAGCCTCCAGAGATCGGGGCGAGGGTGCCACAGGGTGCCCTGTCCCTGAGAAAGGAGGTCCTTCCTCAGAGGATTTGGCCAAGGAGGTGCTGTTGTGAGGAGTATCAGTTCAGAGAACCAGGACTTGGTGGGCCAGTATGGGGCGACCAAAATTACCTGCTCCTCGTCCTCCTTGATCTTGCACAGAGTACGTGCGAGAAGGCTCACTGGGGGAAACGCATATTTGCACTCTTTGTGCACTCAAATATCCATATTTGCATATTTGTGTCCCGAGCCTTAAGTGCTCGGGACACGGCAGAATATTCCACACAAACCCGATACTCGTGGCAGCCCGGGAAAGCATAGCTGTGAACCCTGAATGAACCCACATCCTGTGAACCCACATCCGAGGACAGCAGCACAGACGAGCCATCTCCAGAGGACTCCAGCTCACCTTGTAATGCGACGATAAACATGATTTCATCAGCTGGGGGACCGAATGAGAACGTGGGCCCGCGGGCGGGCCCCGCCCACTCACTCTGGACCACGAGGGTTGCAACGTGAAAGACGGGGTGTGGACCGAGGAATTTTCATCGGTTTAGTTCCAGACCTGATGTCTTTTGGTCACCCTGGCCACCAGCCGAACTATTATCTCACGTGGAGAAAAATAGTTGTGGGTTGTGGATGAGGGGACTCTCACTCTATTGAGCTCATTGAGTCTCAACCGTTATACATTGCGATGATCACGTTCCCACTAAGAGAACATGACACACCCACGAGCGCTGTCTGAGGGTGATCAAAGCCCAAACACGTCAAACAGCGCTCGCGCCCATCAGCTGACTCTATCAGAATACCGCACTCAGGAATACACGGGCAGATCGTCTTTAAAAAGACGTGTCGCGTGCATACTCTTTCAGTGAGAGGAGAAAACTCAGCAGACGTTGAAGCGACCAGGGAGAGACACACAGACTGGCAGACCACTGCTCAGATCGCAGGCAATGTGAAACTCGCTGGGTACCGCCGTCACACCAACACCAGAGAGTTCGCTCGTCTCGAAGAGGTGAGTAAACTCAGATTGTGTGGCTTGTGGAGTGAAGAAGTTATTTTGGCTCCGAAGCGAAAAACATACTGCGGTTGCCTCCGCTTCCTACTTTTATACTCACGGGGTGAGGCGGAGATACGCTATGCAAATTACGCAGACCCATGGCATTTCTTTGCCATTGGCTCGTTTTTTAATACTTGAAGTGGATTGGCTTTCTTGGCGAAACCCCCATTCTCCGTCATCTGACGTAACTCGGAGTGACTACGAAAGGGAACTGTACTTTATGGAAGTTTTTTTCAATGTTACAAAGAAATAAACAAAAAGGACACTTGGAGACTTCGAAAAGGACACTGATTACCAAATAATACACAGCAAAATCCCCAGTGTTAAATCAGCACTGCCCAGAGTACATATGGTCCCACTCTACAGAGTGTTAAAGTAAAACTGAATGATTCATTGTTAAAGTTAATGAGATAATTATTAATGAGAAAGAGATTAATTGATAAAGATTGAGCATTAGGCCCTGTTTACATGAAAACGATTCCAGGTGAAAACGTAAAAATATTTTATCGGATGTGCCTTTGGTTTACATGACGACTGCGTTTTGGGGGCTTAAAAACGCAAAAAAGTGAAACCACCCTCCAGAGTGGAAAATTTAAGGGCGTTCCCGTCTAAAAGGTAAAAACGCAAATCTGCTCACGGTGGCTCTCGTCGCATACGTGTTTACGTCACAGACATGTGTCAACATTTTGGATTAGTTCCATACGTCGGACCTTCAAGTTGCCTTAGCAGCTCTGATAAATCTTTTCAACAGTTGTACAAAATATTCTCAGATATTGGTGTGGTTGTGTGGCAGTGCTTCACATTGCCACCTAGCCGTCTGGAGTGCATACCACATCAACTGCACACCTTTGCGTCACCATATGCACACAGATTTCCACGTATAAGGCTCATCTAAACGCAGAAATAAAAGTGATGACAACGCCACGTTTGCGCTTTCTCTTCAAATCGTTTCCGTGTAAAACATAGCCTCAGTGAAGAACACATGCTAATTCTAACCCTAACATCGTAATAAGCAGAAGCACTGAAGGGAATAGAAACACAAGAACTACAACTGACTTCAACCACAGCCTAAGGGACTGTTTACATAACACCGGTTTCAAGTAAAAACGTAAACTTTTTCATGTGTTTTGGCCTTTCGTAAAAAAACATTAATAATGCTTGGATGCCTAAAAAGTCAAACTTTTTAAAATGGGTTTCAAAGCACAAGATTTTAATTACACAATTGACCCTTCGCTAAGCCCCGCCATCCTTAGTTACTGTTGCTACGCCTGTCAAGCTTTCATGCCTGGCACATCTATTTCAGTGTGTATGCACCGGTGTCAGACATTCCCAAGGAGATAATTACTCATTTTTGGCGAACATGTGAAATATCTGAGAGAGCAAGACGGGACGGTAACACTTTATAATAACTACACGCTAATAATCATTAATTAAGTATGAGTAAACAGTTAATTCATCATTAATAAAGCATTAATAGACATTAATAAGCAGTTTATAAATACAGCTATAAATGCTTTCTTCTTTATTTAAAAGCATATCTATAATTTGTTTAATAATTCTATTTTCATCCTTTTTAATGATCAATTTATCATTTCTAATTGAAGAATTGCATTTTTTTATGAACCAGTTATTTGAGAGTTGTCAATGGTTCGTAAGATTACTTAGAGCGTGTAAGTAAATGATTAATAAACTATTTAAATTGTACATTCATACATCTTATCATTCAGACATATAGTGATGGTTACTGAGTGTGTTAATAAATGCTTTATCAACATGTATTTATGCTGTAATTCAGGGTTAATTCGGGTAGTTATAAAGCATTTAGTAGTGGTCAGTTAACTATGTTTGTGAGCTCATCTAAAGTGAGGACTATTCATGCCTTGTAAAGCATTTATAAAGGAGATTTAAAGGCTGTTAAATATCTCCCTGTTCGGTAACACTTTATAATAACTGCACGCTATTAATCATTAGTTAAGCATGAGTAAACAGTTAATACATCATTCATAAAACATTAATAGACATTAATATGCAGTTTATAAATATAGCTATACATGCTTTTTTCTTGATTTATAAGCATATATATAATGTGTTTAATGATTGTATTTTCATACTTTGTTAATGATCAATTAATAATTTCTAAATGAAGTATAACATTATTTGCAAACCAGTTGTTTAAGAGTTGTCCTTCATTCATAAGACCACTTAGAAAGTGTAAGTAAATGTAGTAAATACAGGTAGTTATAAATCATTTAGTAGTGGTTAGTTAACTATTTTTGTGAGCTAATCTAAAGTGAGGACTATTCATGCTTTGTAAAGCATTTATAAAGGTGATTTAAAGACTCGTATATCTTCTAAACAGTAAAATGTAACAAACACAACACAGTGATACAGAACATAGAAATATTTAACAGCCTTTAAAAATGCTTTACAAGGCATGACTAGTCCTCACTTTAGATTAGGTCACAAAAATAGTTAACTGCAACGCATTCTCACCCCAAGGCGTCCCCTTTGACCATGCTTCAAAATTTGACGTTTTAGGCGCCCTTTAGAGTCACTTACACGATCATACGGCGTCATCTAACTGACGCTAAAGGAAAGCGTCTGTTAGAGGACGCGGTTAGGTTTAGGTGTGGGGTGGGGGTAGGGTACACGCGATCCTAGGGCGTCATCTTACTGACGCTAAAGTGCGCCTAAAGCGTCAGATATTGAAGCATGTCCATTAGTCAGTTAAGTGACGCCTTGGGGGTGAGAATGGGCTGTTAACTGACCACTACTAAATGCTTTATAACTACCCAAATTAATCCTCAATTACAGCATTAATACATGTTAATAAAGCATTTATTAACACATTAAGTAACCATCACTATATGTCTGAATAATAAGATGTATGAATGTACATTTAAATAATTTATTAATCATTTACTTACTCGCTCTAAGTAATCGTATGAACCACGGACAACTCTTAAATAACTGGTTTATAAAAAATGCAATTCTTCATTTAGAAATGATAAATTGATCATTAATAAAGGATGAAAATACAATTATTAAACAAATTATAGATATGCTTTTAAATCAAGAGGAAAGCATTTATAGCTGTATTTATAAACTGCTTATTAATGTCTTTTAATGCTTTATGAATGATGAAGTAATGGTTTACTCATGCTTAACTAATGAATATTAGCGTGTAGTTATTATAAAGTGTTACCCTATGTTCTGTATCACTGCGTTGTGTTTGTTACATTTTACTGTTTAGAAGATTGATGCGCCTTTAAATCTCCTTTATAAATGCTTTACAAGGCATGAATAGTCCTCACTTTAGATGAGCTCACAAAATAGTTAACTGACCACTACTAAAATCTTTATAACTACCTGTATTGACTGACAACTCTTAATTAACTGGTTTGTAAATAATGCTATACTTAATTTAGAAATGATTACTTGATCATTAACAAAGTATGAAAATACAATTATTAAACGCATTATAGATATGCTTATAAATCAAGAAGAAAGCATTTATAGCTGTATTTATAAACTGCTTATTAATGTCTATTAATGCTTAATAAATGATTAATTAACTGTTTACTAATGCTTAACTAATTATTAATAGCATGCAGTTATTATAAAGTGTTACCAAAATATTAGCTAAAGCCTATTGTCCCATGAGCCAGTACAGGAAAATAACGACCAACATCTCAGATTATTTCCATACGTCGGACCTTCAAGTTGCCCTAGCAGCTCTGTTTAACATACAAGAGTCTTTTCTGCAGTTGTACCAAATATTCTCACATAGTATTACTGATCAGAGAAGGCGCATTGAAGGTTGTACGCAGGCGCACGGACTTAGTGTTGTTGTGTGGCAGCGCTTCACATCGGCACCTAGCCGCCTGGAGGGCATACTACATCGAAATTTACACACTTTTGCGTCACCATATAAACGCAGATTTCCCAACCATTACACTCGTCTACACGCAGAATAAAAAGTGAAAACGCAAAGCCACTTTTTTTCTCTTCAGATCGTTCCTGTGTAAACATAGCCTTAGTGCCATCTGTCAGGTTAGTGAAAATATTCATTTGAATGAAAGAGTCTGTGAATGTGTCTCATTTCGTTTCCAATCAATAAAGTATCTTCAGCTTTTGTATTGTGACGAGAGTTGATCATTGTCTGGATAAACAGATATAGATTTCAAAATGATAATGTTAACAATCAATCCTAAAGATCTGCTTTGACAAATAAAAAGCTGTTTAATGTGCAGTATGAAAAAAGTCTTTGGATCTGTTTTGTCATTTCAATTTTGTCATACCATTAACCTTATTCTGTCCATCATTTTGCAACCTCTCTTATTCATCGCTAAAAGGCAAAAACAACCAAAATAAAAGGTTCTGACAGATGTAATTTTTATACCTTTCCACTATACCAATATCCGGAGTCCAAAACATATTTTTAGGGGCAACAAATTTGTCAATTCCACAAAATTGAGTGTCATCCCACTCCAAATCCCCAATTGGCCAAGCCTGGATAAGATATAGTTACAGAGAAGGTCAGAGTGATTATAAGACAGATACTGTATGCTTGAAAATCAAATAAAACCTCTGATCATGTGACAAAATTCTGTAAATTCAAGGTGCTATATGTAACTTTTCTTCTTGAAATGAATCCCTTTTCTATTGCCTGTGTGTGAAGGGGTTGTAATCACAAATTACAATGATCCACTTGTCGGGTTTTGCTATTCCCTCTGAAGGCCAGTATTCATATTTCTATGAAATCCAATTCTAAATTATATGAATTTTCTGCGAAATCCATCAGATGTGACGTGCATGCGCGCTCCAGAGCCTCTCTCCTTTTATATACAGTCTATGCGACAGCACTGCAGCTAAGGACATGAGTCTGATAACACCAAAACAGTCCTGTCTCCAGCACAACACACTCCAACACAACACATGCTCCAACACAAACTCCACAGAAATATAAAAAACAAATAAAAACTTCATCTGCTGAAGCTCGTCAGGCCAAACGTGAATCGGATCGACGTAGGACGAAAACACGGATCAATGTCGACAGAGCGTTTGAATTATGGAGAGACCTCCGCTATTTTTATTGTGATAAATTACAAGTTTTTATGATATGCTGAAAGAAATAATAGAAAACTGTAATAAATAGCAAGGTAAACTACAACATATGAGACATGAAATGAACACAAAAGACTGTTCCAGAATATTCTTGATATATCTACTAGATCTACTGTCTAACGTCACTCATCCCACTACTCTCATATTGTTTATAATACACATTTCCAGACACGTTCAGTACAGTAATGTCAATTCCTACGATCGTACTGTTACACTGAAATTGTTCAGTCTAGTTCACTAACCGTTTTCGTTACCATATTATACATTCACTTGACATTGTTGACATTGCTGATTGTAAAAGATACACGCATAGTTTGTGAAATGCCTTATGCTAGATAACAGCACAAATGTAACGTTATCATGGTACGAGCATGGAGCATTAGTTCAACGTTGAGCTGATAACAGTAGCCTATTATTGTAATGCTGCAGTGGGAGTTTGCATGAGTTTCCAGCATGTTTGTTGTGTGATGCTTTCTCCGGAGTGTGTAAAGTCTCAGTGTGGCCGTGTACCATGAGTACACGGCCACACAAGCGCAATCACTGAGGGAGGCAGCTAAAAAATACATATAGCACCTTTAAGTAAAATTTAAGAAAAATAAGAAGAAAATTGTTTTTTAAGACGCTTACTGTTAGTATTTTGACCTGTGTCGTGAGACTCTGGGCTTTTTCATCCTGTAGATAAAAGATGTGTTGAGAGATGATATTGCAACTGCTAGACATCCCATTATGACTTGAATGAGGAGATTAATCATGCTGGACACATACCACATTTATGATGGAGGTCACATACAGGTCCACATAAATCTTAGCAGGGTGGGAACCGTAGTACCAGTCATATTTGCTGAATATCAAGGGCCACATTCTGCTTTTCTGATTTTGTTGGTCATTCTTGTCCATGCCGAGATGTTCAAATAGACGCTTTCTAGCTTCAGCATATTCAACAGCACTGCAGTTTTGAGCATCCGTCACTTGAGCATCAAACACCCACCCTGTGCATATGAGACACTGTGCAATACAGTAGAATATATTCTCCAAGCACGCAAAATGTTTAAACTCAAGTTTTTTTTTTAAATATATGCATATGTAAAAGTATATTTTGAAAAACATTTTCTTTACATTCACAATGTACTAATGGCTGAGTGCATTGTCCTATTTGCCAAGTTCAAGGGTCAATAAACACTGGTGCTATTTTTTTTTTTTTTAATTGGTCAAAATGTGGCTTTCATTAGGTCAGTACATTATCCTAATTCAAGGCCTTAGGTCTGCTTCAAAGGGATACTCCACCCAAAAATGAAAATTCTGTCATAATTTACTCACCCTCAAGTTTCTTTCTTCTGCTGAACACAAAGGAAGATATTTTGAAAAATGATTGGACTCAAACAGTTGTTTGGCACTAGAAAAAAAAATACTATGGAAGTCAATGGTGCCAAAGTTCCAATCGTTCTTCATAATATCTTCCTTTGTGTTCAGGAGAAAAAAGAAACTCACACAGGTTTGCAACAACTTGAGGGTGAGTAAATGATGACAGAATTTTCATTTTTGGGTGGAGTATACCTTTAACACATAGTCTATTGCGGCCAAGAAACCACACAGTGAAATGGGCTGATGGTGCAACAGTGTGCATTATCTATGCTAAGTTTAATGGTTTCTCATGCACACACGAAAGTCTGCATATTTTTTGTTATTTTTGCAAAGATCCTTTTAGTGGCTCTGTAAGAATGCTAAGTAAATATTGTTGTAAAAAGTAAAAATTGACAGGTGATATGTTCCCCTTCTAAATTCCTAGACTTTAAAAAAAATGAAGGGATGTAACGATTGGGAGAAAATGATCTAGATTAACAAATCTTGTAAAAATGTTCTTATTTGTTGTCATTTAACATGAACTAATGTTACCAAATTGTCCTTTTGTAAAGTGTTATCATTAATATTTACTTACCCAAAGAGATCAGCAAAAATATAAGCCAGTGTAGGTGCATCATGTTCAAAAGTGAAAAGGGTCTGAGATACCTCTGCTGTCGGATGAGTCTTCACTCTTGAACAGATGTCAGTCATTTGTCATATTTATACACTGTGAGTGAGCCACACTGGAGGAGAAAGGGAGGAGGGCTGCCGGAAGAATTTGTCTATGGGATGAAGAATTGTTGCATATTGTATGCTCGCAATGATGATGGACAGTGCATAAGTGTTTAGGCTCCTAAACTATTGAGCATTAGTGAAGAACACCTGCTGTTAGCAGAATCACAGAACGAAAGAGAAATACAACTAAATTAAATTAGATGAAGAAAAAAAAGACATTAAATCTCTGAAGATCTCAGCAAAGGAAGAATGAACAACTCCACAAACAGCATCAACAGCTTCACTCATTACTAATCAGACTGACTTTATTTCTGTCATGCGGCTGTAGAAGTTCTTATAGAGAATTAACAGAGGTTTAGATGTTGATGTTTTATTGACATGATTGGTCACCATTATGGTGATCCGTGTTTCATTTAGTTGGTCAGTTTGACACTTAGCTGTTGATGTGAATTAATGGTCTTTGCAACAGTGTAACACATATTTGGTTATGAAGATGAAGTGGTGGTTATGGTGATGTCATTTTTGTAAAATGTTTTGTAAAATTTTGTATTGTAATGTCTTGCAATAGATAAGATATTATGAAATTTGTCTTTTAAATATATAGTAGGAATTATTTCATTAAGAAACCCACAGGCATCAATGAGAATAGAAGTTTACTCTGTAAACTGGTGCTAGACCAGTAGCTGAAATCACTTCTGCCGCAGTGAGAGAAATGTATTTTAATTAGGGGAGAAAGCACTGCTGCGGCAGTGAGACATGAAAGTTTGAGAGTTGTAAAAGTAAAAATATTTCGAGACAGTTCCACGTGTTATACTTAGCCAGAGTGGTGCTGGTATAATGTCACTTTGTAGGACAACAGAGTTAGCATCACAATGGTTGACTCGAGAATATCTTAGATAAAACACAAGTAAAATAAAAGTATGTCTAGTTTGCTTTTAGAAGTTTAATAAACACCCTGTATTAAATTCAACAGATAGTAACCGTACGTAATTTGAGATGGCAAAAGAACAGGGGCAAACCCTGTACAATTTTTTTTCCCATTTCCTTGTAAAACAGATGAAATGATAGTAAAAAAAATTCAGACCAGCTGAGCAGCATTATAGTTATGCCAAAGACCTTTGACTGTACAAAATAACTCATGCGAAACAAAATCAGTATACACACTCAAAGCTGTTTCTCCCTTTTGTGAAAAATCACTTCTCAGAGATCTTTGATACCAGAAATATAAGATTTCCTTCTGCAGAAGACAACTCCAGATTTTGGGTCAGCTCACACATAAGTTGTGGTCAGAATGTGCATTAACAGCTTCACTCATTACTAACCATGATTGACTTTATTTCTGTCATGGCACCCCTGGTAAATATGAACAAAAATGGCTGTAAAAAATAAATCTGCATAGTTTTTCCTTTTGATCTTTCATTCGAAAATTGTGAAAAAATCTAACCTTAAACTGAAGTAAACACATTATGTAATAAATGTTAGATAATTACATAATTTTACATTATAAAATCTTCTACAAAAGTGTGTATACTGATTTTTATTTATTTATTTTTTTTGTCATGAGATGTTTTGTACAGTCAAAGGCCTTTGGCACTTAACTCTGCTCAACAGGTCTGATTATTATTATTCTTAATTTTTTATTTCATCTTTACTGCAGGGAAATAAAAAAAAAATCTTTGAAAACCCTGTTGTTGTCACAGACTAGAAGGAGACAGATGAATGAGTATAAACCAGGTTTATTGAGACAGGTGGTATGGACAAAGAGCAGGTGAGTATATGAGAGAAAGTTCAAAGATGGAGCGGGAAACAGTCTGATATGGAGTCTCTTATCTTGAGCAGGGATGGATGACGGACGAGCAGAGGCTGAGGACGGATGACCAGGAGAAGACCGGGGACCAGGAGCAGAAGAGGAACGGCAGAGGCCTGGAGAGACGGGTAAGTAATCCTTTTGCCAATAGAAGTGTAGCGGGAGTCTGTAGTGGTAGCCGAGTATACACTGGAATGGGGTGAGTCCGGTGGTGGTTTGTCGGAGGGAGTTTTGTGCATACTCGGCCCAGGGCAAGAAACGGCTCCAGCAGTCCTGGTGGTCGTGACAGTATAACCGTAGGTATCTCCCGATCTCCTGGATCTTCCGCTCAGTCTGGCCGTTTGACTGGGGATGGTATCCTGAAGTGAGGCTGACGGTCACACCCAGAAGGTTGAAGAACGCTTTCCACACTCGAGAGATGAATTGGGGTCCTCGATCGGAGACGACGTCCTCGGGGATCCCAAAGTTTCGGAATATGTGTTGGAACAGAGCCTCGGCAGTTTCAAGGGCTGTTGGCAAACCAGGAAGGGGAATTAGTTTGCATGCTTTGGAGAAGCGGTCCACTACTACCAGAATGCAGGTGTGATTGTTAGACACGGGCAGGTCGGTGACGAAGTCCACTACGAGATGAGACCAGGGTCGAGTGGGTATTGGGAGAGGGACCAGCTTGCCTTCTGGGAGATGACGGGGAACCTTGGCCATGGCACAGACTGAGCATCCTTTGCCGAACCGGGAGACATCCTGGGCCATACCCGGCCACCAATAGCGCTGTTGGACGAGCGAGAGAGTGGATTGGCTGCCTGGGTGTCCAGAGCCCGGAGAGGTGTGTACTGAGTCCATGAGGGACAGGCGTAAACGGGTTGGGACATAGACCCGTCCCTCTGGACCTCCCGGCGGAGCAGGTTCGAGCTGTGTGGCTTCGGCGATGTGGTCATCCATACTCCACTGGATGGGGCTGACAACCACGGCTGGAGGGAGAATGGTTTCGGGCTCAGAAGGAGGGGTCTCGGGTTAGAACTGACGGGAGACAGCGTCTGCTTTCACGTTCTTTTCTCCAGGGCGATAGGTGACTGAGAAATTGAAGCGTGTGAAGAACAGGGCCCAACGGGCTTGACGGGGATTGAGTCTCTTAGCATCTCGGAGGTACTCGAGGTTACGGTGGTCAGTGATCACTGTGAAAGGGTGTTGGGCTCCCTCCAGCCAGTGCCTCCATTCCTCCAACGCGAGTTTGATTGCCAGTAACTCCCGGTTGCCGATGTCATAATTCTGCTCTGCCGGGGACAGTTTCTTGGAGTAGAAGGCGCATGGATGGAGTTGAGGTGGGTTCCCCTGCCGCTGAGAGAGGACCGCTCCTACCCCCGAGATAGAGGCATCCACCTCGACGAGGAAGGGTATGGCGGGGTCTGGAAGGGCCAGGGTAGGAGCGGAACTAAAGGCTGATTTCAGGTCTTGGAAGGCTTGGGTAGCTCGGGTGTTCCAGGATAGAGACTTGGCCCCGCTCTTGAGAAGGTCGGTGAGTGGGGAACTGATGGGACTGAAGTTCTGGATGAAACGGCGGTAGAAATTGGCAAATCCCAGAAAACGTTGAAGTTCCTTACGGGTGGTGGGTTGTGGCCAGTTGAGTACCGCTTCCACCTTCCTCTGGTCCATGGTGATTCCGTGTGGAGTGATGATGTAACCGAGGAATTGGATGGTGCTTTGGTGGAATTCGCATTTCTCCAGTTTGAGATAGAGATGATAATCTCGGAGTCGTTGGAGCACTGTCTGAACGTGACGGATATGGGAGGTCAGATCGGGGGAGTAGATGAGGATATCGTCGATATAAATGACGACAAACTGATTGAGGAGATTGCGGAATATTTCATCATGAAACCTTGGAAGATGGCGGGTGAGTTGGACAATTCGAAGGGCATCACGAGATATTCGTAGTGCCCTGGGGGGGTGATAAAGGCGGTTTTCCACTCATCCCGGACTCGGATGAGGTTGTAGGCACTACGAAGATCTAACTTGGTGTAAATGGATGCCCCTCGGAGTTGTTCCAGGGCGGCTGGGACCAGAGGAAGAGGATAGCGGAATTTAACAGTAGCTTGGTTGAGGGTACGGTAGTCGATGCAAGGGCGCAAGCCTCCATCCTTTTTTCCCACGAAGAAGAAGCTCGAAGCGGCAGGGGACACTGATGGTCGGATGAATCCGTGGTCGAGAGCCTCCTGGATATACTCCTCCATGGCCTTCTGCTCCGGGATGGACAGAGGGTAGATCTTACCTCGCGGTAGGGCCGCCCAGGGCAGCAGGTCGATCGCGCAGTCCCATGGCCGATGTGGAGGGTAGGGTGGTAGCTTGATGTTTATCGAAGACATCCTGGAACGCCCGGTAGGGAGAGGGGATCTCGGGAAGAAGTTCCACTGGTGGGCTCTCCACGGAGGTGGTGGAGAGGCGGAACTGGCGGAGTGTGTGATATGAACAGGGTCTTCGTCACAGATGACAGACAACGCTGGAAACAGTCCTCACCCCACCGTAGGATTCGCCGGTGGACCATTGAATATGCGGGGAATGGGTCTCCAACCAGGGGCGTCCAGGAGTGATATCTCAGCCGTAGAGCCCTCCAGGACCAGAAAAGATATCTCCTCCTTATGGAGCCAGCCGCATCTCTAACCCCAGGTCGGGACTACGATGTCCAACCAGGCCGCGCCCTAGTGGTTGTCCTAAAATGGTTTGTACTTGCAGTTTGTGAGGGATGGATCGTTGTTTGGTTTGCAGCCGGTTTAATGTGGACAGA